CCCCCGAAACATTCAGAATAACCTGAATGCAAACTGACACTTAAACCTTGATTTATACCCAGGCCAGCAGGACCCCTGCCCCTATCACCTTTCCAATATTTCCAGTTGAGTGTCTGTGCATATTCTACCCTGACTTTCCCCAGGACCTCCAGCTAATACTGGCAGGAGTACAAGTTGGTGAGAAGGCAAGGCCAAGCTCTCTTTGAGATCTCACTGACCTTGGGAGATATTTGGATTGCAGCCCAAAGGCAAAATGATATAATACACATTCAGGAAAGAATTTAGTCTTTGGTCTAAAGGGGTAAAATTTTCGAGTGGCTGCCTTTCTGTTCACATGTATGATTAATGAAAAGGTTGTTGCAGGTGAGTGCAGAGTCCCATCGTGATGTGGAACAGGAAAATACTGCTGAGACTTACTAGGAAAACTCTCTAAGTTGTTTATGTGTGGGAAGTACTGCTGCCTTCCCCCATCTCCCCATTCATAAGCCATGCTTGCTGAGGAAATTAATTTGAGATGGGTGCCAACCTTCTGCTCTGAATAACCCTAATTAAGAGATTTCTTTCAAACCAAACTAAACTACTCAAACTGACTTCAGCAAACCCACACAGCACAGCCTGTGACACGACCACTGTGCCATTTAACTCCTGATGGACACCCATCTCTCCCACACAGCCAGCGGGGGCAAAGCTCTCAGCCTCCAAACCCGAGTCCTGCCCGGAACACGGGAAGCCAGCGGGAGCTGTGCCTCTGGCTTTGGCCCAGGCTGGTGTTTCACGGGGTGGTTGGGTTTGGGGTGGTCAGTGCACGGGAGAGGCCAGGCCGGAGGGAAGCAGGGGGAGGTTAGAAGGCTGTGTGTACTTACTGAGGTTCCATGGGAGAAGGAGTTTGGCTGTTATAGTCGGGCTGCGAGGGGAGCACTGAGCACAGGAATGCTGCGGGGGATTGGTTAGCCGTGGGTAAAAGCCTCTGCCCGGATGATGAGCTAGCAGGAGACTGTGCAGATGCAGGAGTGATGGGATACGTGGATTCCTTGGGGGCACTACAGGAAGGCGAGGAGAGCGTGATCGAAGAGCTCAGCGATGACGAGGAGGAGAATTTCTGCCCGCTGGGGTTGCGGGGCTGAATGAGGATGGAGGATTGTTTGATCTCTCTGCTCGGCTCTGCGGAGGCTGCGGGTCCCGGAGGCTGCTGCTGCCCTTGGCACACATTCTTAGACTGGATAAAGTGTTTTGGACGCTCGTAGTTAAACATGGTTGGCTGGCACATGGAGGAAACGGAGGGGAGGTTGGGGACACTCATAGGAGAGGTTTCGCGGCTGTCCTGGGTTTTTGTTGGTGATAACTGGCTTTGGAGGGGTGGCTGGTAAAAGCTAGGTGGTAGGCCACAAAAGTTTTCTTGGCTGGGCTCCTGGATAGAATGGAACCCTTGCCTTGCAGGATAGAGGCTTTCCTGGTGTGGATTTTCCCTTAGGGAAGACAATACAGATAAAATAAATTGTACATCACAAGGTGGATCACAAAAATGCTGTGTTGTGAGCAGTAGTTAGCAATCCAAAGAATAGGAGGTTTGGGCAACTGACAATTAAAGCTTGAGCTTAGACTAAAGGTATTTAGGACTTATTAGAACTATTCCTGAACTGTCTGAATGTTTTGGATTACAATAACAAGCCATGCAGCCTGCCTGACTCAGGCACAGTGTTCTCTGTGGCTCTTAAATGCCAGAGCCCAGTAAATTCTGAAAAAAATGTCAATTGTTTTATCAAGACCCCTCACCACCTGCATAAGTCTACAGATAACTGTGGATACTACTGCTAAGCAGGGTAATTTGATACATATTTCAGTTAAAGATCCTTGGGTTCTTCTATTCTGTGCCCTTTCAAAATACTAAATGTACTATTCCTCAGAGAACTGGCTATTTGTGCTGGGAAATTCCTTATGCCACAGGGAAACATGAAACAGGTTCCACTTTCTTTTAATCCTAAAACTAAACCTTTGAAACCAAGTGTCCTGATTTCTTCTTTAGTGGGTTTTGAATTCAGAGCTTTTCATATCCAGCTGAGATTTGGGATTGGAATGCCAAGGACTGTGCTTTTCCATTTGAAGTGATTTCCCAAGGTTTGCTGTTCAGCCCACTAATTGCCAGAATGACATTATCTTCAGGATAAGGGATGCATTTGTTTTGCAGGTGCTTCATACCTAAACCTGGGCTTTCCATTGACTAAAAACCCGGGAAAGTTTCATTAGAGTGAACTGAACGAGCTTGTTAAAACAGACAAACAATTTCAGCTCTGGGATAAATAAATAATCCCCCGAAATAAACATAAAGCTACTAATAAAAAAAAAAAAATAGAATATAAATCCACACAGTTACATGTGCTGGAAAAAATGGTAATCTTGCCCCACCGAGATCAGCTGTTTTGCTGCTATATATACCCAGTATATTGTATTCCTCTCACTGGAGAGCCCGAAGAAGGGCTCCAGGAGGTCATAAATCCCCATGGGGGGGACATAACAGAAGACATCACTTTCGTTTCAAAGATTCAAGGCTTTCGTTTCCTAAAGGTGATCATTGATATTGGTTGTAAATTAACTGTATGTAAACAGAGGCATTATAGTAAAAATTCCCTAAGTTTCCCCTTGTCATGCTCTTGGAATTTGAAGCTGGCTCAAACTTTTGGAGCGTGTCCACGCTGTGTTCTCATTCACCGATGCAGAAAACTCGTCGAGTCTTGTCCTTACCTCCTTTTTATACCACTACCTGTGCACAGGTTTTTACCCTCCTTTTACCTACAGGTTGTGCACAGGAACCAGCATTTGCTTTGTTTTCTGGAGCCCTGCAAGCCCCGGCTCACAGCGTCGCTTCTCCCAGCCAGCGGTAAGTTATGTTTTCCTCAAATCGTTCCACCTCGATTTGGGAGGAAAAAAATAAAAAATAAAAAAAAATCCAAAGGGACTTTTGACCTTATAAGAGGTCAGTAATAATAGGGAGAGCTTGCTTTGAAAAACAAAAACAAAAAACAGGGGAAAAAAATCCAAGGGTTTTTTTTCCTCTGTTTCCACTGTTCCTCTGTTGCCTCCCACCTCTGTTACCTTTGACACCACCTCACCTTAAAGGCACTTTTCCACCTCAACCACCTGCAGCCACTCATGCCACCTTCCCTAACCAGCCTCGAAGCAAAAAGGTAATGTGGACAAAAAAAAACAACAAAAAACAAAACAACGAAAACCACAACCGAACAAGCACCTTACCTACAGCCTAGAAGTTGTCACCTGGGCTTTACGCGGTGTTTGGGGCAGGGACGGTCATTCCCCGACCCAGGCTGTCATAGGCACCGCTCTGCCCGGCGTTCCGGAGGCTTTAATGTGCTGCCAGCGGTGACACCGCTGTGTCCCCGGCCCCCGCCGCTGTCACAATAAGAGTCTCCACTGCCCGCACTCCCGTCCCAGGGCCCGAGAAGGGATTTGGGATTTGGGCAGGTGCCCGCGGGCAGCGAATCCCCCGCCGGGGCAGCGCTGGAACCGCCCGGCGCTCGCAGGGGCGCTGCTGGAAGGGGCGGACGGACCCCGCTCCTGCCCCCGGGGGCTGGCCCCGCTCCCGGACCCCTCAGTGGGTCTGGGGACTCCCCCCGGGAGCTGTGGGGGTGGCGGGGGCAGGAGCAGCCCGGCCCGGCTCTCCCCTGAGGGGATGCGGCCGCTCCCGGGAGCGCCCCGCGCTCAGCGGGGAAAGGGGGAGAGCTAAAGGCGACGGCTTTTTGAAAAGAAAAGCAGCTTTTCTGCCCGTAAAACCGCCAGGGAGCAGCGAGGAAGGAAGGACTGCTGCAGTATGCCTGAATGTCCCTAAATCCCACTCCGTTATCCCAGCGAAATCGTTGCCCAGAGATGCTGCGGCTGCTCCATCCCTGGAAATGTTCAAGGCCAGGTTGGACGGGATCCTGAGCAACCCGGGATGGTGGAAGGTGTCCCTGCCCGCGGCAGGGGGTTTGGAACTGCATGATCTCTAAGGTGCCTTCCAACCCAAACCACTCTCTGATTCTGAATTCCTTGTTTAATTCCTTTACTAATTGGCTGTAGCGAATTGCCTGTGTAGTGATAACACCCTGGTTCTGTGTACAAGGCTGTGCACTTGGAAGGCACCAGGTACTCCAGAGCCGGGTTTAAAGGCGATTGAAGTACCCCAGGGCAACCCCCACCCCGCTCCAGTACAGAGCTCAGTCAGGAGCAGTGGCACTGCTCATGGGTGTGTCTGAACAGGCACAAACTGAATAGCAACACTAGACTCACAAAAATAATCTATGATGAAAATATGTTAAATATTTATAGTTTTATGTTTTTGTTTGTTATTACGGCTATTTACAGGGATTAAAAAAAAAAAAATGCAACTGTGATGTTTTCACCAGCACAGCAACAGATCCTGCTGGCAGATTAGGTGATTTGTATCCCTTTAATCAGCATTTCAATGCCTAATTGCATCTTAAATTAACATTATAGTGTTTTAAGGATCTTAATTATACTCTGGCAACTCTTGCCTATTGTTTAAAAGCACCCCAAGCCTGAAAGTACCGCAGCTGGGCTGAGTGTGGGCTCTCAGCCGCCTCCTCTCTCCCTTCTCTCTGCCCTTGAGTCTGTCAGCACAGCGATCTTCAAGAGGTTAATCCACATTTAGTGTTTGTATTTAAACATCGGCCCAGCGTTTGTGAACTAAAACTTACATAGCAGGTGTTAATTGAGTGCTAATTTATTGAAATTCCTCCTGGTGGAATTGATTAAGGGAGGGAGTGTGTCCTTCATTACTGGAGAAGTTTTTTTGCTTTTGAGCTAAAAACTTTATGAAAATTAAAAATCGGTAGTTTGCACAGGATGAGTACTTAAAAAAAAAAAAAAAGGTACCTGTGGGATGATCACTTGCCCTGCAGGAAGATGTGAACATGGTAAAGGTCAGTCTGTGTGCTCAGACAGCCTCCCTGCCTCCCCACAGAACTAAAGTTGGCTGCAAGGCACCAATGTAAGGACAGCTCTGTACACTTAAAAGACTGGGCACAACTGGGACGACTTGAGTGAAAGAGGAGGAACAGAAAGAGGTGAGATCCAGAAGGTAGGGAGAAAAAAAAAATAAAAAAGAGAAAGAACTGGAAACTGAAGTGACAAAAGCAGAGGAATAAATCTCACTGCCTGAGCCAAGTAACTTAATAGTGCTGTGCCCAGCACTGCGAGGTGTCAGAAACCAGCTTTTCTGTCCTGCTTCAGTTTACTTTCTAAGAATGGTGACCTGCTGAGACTGATCAGGTTCTCCTTAGTTGATTGAGTCATACAGCAAAAAATGTCTAGAAGAAGGGTTAAGAATATTCTGCTTATTTATTAAAAGGCCTGGCAGCAAAGTTAGTGCCTGAAGCCTTTTCTTTTGCTAGGATTAAGTTCCTTTAATGAAGTCAATAATCGGCATAGATTTTGTTCTGCTTCTTTAAGGCTGTTGAGAAGGACACACTGTTACCTGCAGGCACAAAGGGCTCAGAGAGGAGTAGTGACAGTCTTCTTGAATGGCATTTTCTGGCTTTTGGGGAGTGGCTGTCACTGAGCAATAACTGGGAGAAGCACAAGTAAAAGGATTTAGTTCATTTTATAGTTATTCTCAGTAATGGATTTGTTCTGCCATCACTGCCTTTGGTGGTACAGTTGTAACCACATATGATACATGAGAGAGTTATATGGTAAATCTGACTAAAAAGACTTATTTTACAGCCAGTCATTAGCCATGATTGCTGAGTTTGAGGTAACAGCAACATTTACAATGCTTTGTCCCATTCATAATGATGTTTCAAGGCACGTGGCAATAAGTCTGTTGGGTTTAAAGATATTTAAATGCTCATAGATGGGTATATTTTAATAGTTTCACTCTGTATCTTGAGATGTGTCCAAAGTCTGGTTCAACACTGCTGTCAATCAAAAGCAATATACTCTATATACTAGTTGATGGTTTATATTTTAAAAAGCTATATTACATAGCTGATTTTATATCCCTTCATGTAGTGGGACCTGCTCAGTGTCCCAGCTGATTTCCCTGGAGCAAGCCTGGATTTCCTGGAAGGGCTTGAAGCCAAACTGAGAGCCTCCCCTTGGTGACCTGCAGGCTCTTGAAGCAAACCCAGTTTTACTCAGTGATTTAGCAAAATAATTCCTGTGCATGGACACATCCATGTTGAAACACGGTCTCTCCTCTAGTGAAATTTGGAGGAGGGGGTGGTGTTCAGGATTGTTAAAATAACTGGTTTAGTTAAAATGGCTGAGCACATCCAAAAATAATCTGTACCACAGGGAGCACTCCCTGTCACGGACAGCCATTTACACACACGCTGTAACAGGATCACTGCAGTTCCAGGCTGGAATTCAGCTGGGAGAGGAGGCACACGTCTGCCTCGGAGCTCCCTCTGCCACAAACAGGGCTGAGGAAACTCCTCTGCTGGGCTTGGACATCTGATCTGAACTGCCACCATTTGAGGTCACCTTTCTGCCTCTAAACCCCCAAGAAACCCTGCAGAAATGGGGATGGAACTGCCAATATGTGTGTGTTTTAACTTGTTCTGCTCCTCTGGAAAAATCAGACCTGATAACTGGTAATGTAATAGGGGCACAGAGACTTGAGAGCTGCATTTGGGATGGACACTGGATCAAGTCTTGTTATAAGATGCAACATTTTATTAATGTGGGGATATCTTCACCTCCTGGGTGGGGAGTGTCCCTGCCATGCCATGGGACAGTTTTCACTCCACTGTCCTTGTCACACAGGCAAACAGCTCAGGTGACTGTATGGGTCTGGGTAAGGGACGCTTGCAGCTGAATCACTGCAGAGTTCACCCCCTAAATGTTGTAAAAAACTAACCCAGGATGTGATTTTTTTCCTTTGTCTTACCGCAGAGGGGAAGCCCGAGGTGAGTCCTCATAAGCTCCGTGAAAATCTTCAGCTTGGCCCGTGGGGTTCATCTGACCAAAGCTGGTGGCTGCTGCTCTACCCCCCAGCCCTGGGCTCTCTGGGCTGTAGGATGGGAGGCCAGAGGCCCCTCGGTCCTTGGCTCCTGCCTGGCTGCTCCTGGGGAAGGTGGGTTTCTTCACGGTGACCTGCACAGCTGGCCTGTGGGCAGCACCTGCAAAGCTCTCCAGCTCTTTTGCTCCTGGAAGCAGAATTGTCCCCAAGTCAGGTAGGAAGCGGTGGTGGTTCACCAACACGACACATGCAACAGCAGTGGGGCAGGAGAATGGAATGGCTGAGCAGGTGGGTGAGAGCTCAGCCTGCCTGGGCTCTGCAGAGACCAAAACCTGCCCAGCTGCATTAACCAAACCTGCCTTCTCTCCAGGGCTGGTGAGCTTGGGACGCATACAAGGTGCTGTTCTGTTTGCAGGTGGACTTCAGCACCACCCAAGCAGGTCAGGTGTTACAATAAACAAGGTACAGACACAGCCCATGTGTTGGGCTGTGCTGGAATCCCTGAAGGGATGAATCTCAGGGATGAGATTCCTCTGTGAGAGGGAACATCACCTCCACCTTGTCATCCTCGACCCAGGTAGAAGAGGGATCAAAGGCAGAAACATGGAACAACTTGCATCCAGCTTTGAGAGGTACCCAAGCAGATTGCATTTCTGGGGCATTTCTCTTTCTTTGAGCCTACAAAATTGTTTGGGTTTGGCTTCTGATTGGCAGACAGCTGTGGTTCTGCCTGGTGCTGAGCTGCAGCAAATTCTTTTGTGCTTAGTTGCTCAACACAGAGATCCATGTGCTTACCTGTGGAAACAGAGAGATGTGCACTGGATGCTGCAGATCCAAATTCATTTTCAGCAACACATTTAAATATTCCAGAGTCTTCTGGAAAAGCTTCTGTAATAACCAGGGTGCAGACTTCCTCTGAAATGACAAATTCAGGCATGTTGCTGTACCAGAGAGCCAGATGTTAACCTGGAGGAATTGGTCCTTGCAGGAGGACTGGGACTTAATGATGGGGCTTGGCATCAATAAAGTGCAAAAAAAAAAGATGTACAGGGCATAGGATTTTAAGGGATTCAGAAGGAACAAAAAATTGAAGGAAGATTCTTTCTTGCTGTGATGTTAATGAAACAAGGCACATTTTTTGTAGTGGGTTTTTGTGGGTTTTTTTTGGTTGGTTGGGTTTGGGTTTTTTTGGGGGGGCTAAATTCTTTCTTCTCTTGCACAAGTTTAAACCCCATACAAGATTAGAAGTCAGAATGGTGGATGTATTTTCCCTCAGCACAGGGTACCCTTCACTGACTTAATTCAAGGGGCCAATACCTTTTTTATTGTGTTGAGAAAAAACTCAGGGCCTTTTGAGTGCTTCTGTCAAAAGTAAGAACTTGAAAGCTCTTGGCCTGACTCTGAATGTTGTCTTCTGACCACCCTTTGGACATTGTTGTTTTATCTTGGTGGGAAATCCTGAGTGTGAGGTAATTAACTGGTGAAATATCTAACCCAAAATGCACAGTGTACTTACCAGGAACTGCTGATGAACAAGCCTCTGCTCAAAATAAGAGAGAAAAAAGTGAATGGTTATAAGACCAGAACGGAAAAAAAAGACCTTCAGCCCTCACTCCCTTCCCCACTTCAGCTGTCACCCTGGTTAAAAAGGAGCCATCTCCCTTTGTCTCCATCAAAAGAAATATCATCTGGCCAGGGAAAGCTCAAGTTTGGCTTGGAAACCTGGGGGTACAAACACCTCTCCACTGAGGTGACACAGAAAGAGCTCCTCAGACTTTGGGGTTAGTTGCTGTGAATTTGGTGCATTGGAGCTCTGACTGGGAGAATCAGAATTTGTTTAAAATGAGGTGATATATATTTTTCCCCCCCCGAGTCCATCAGTGGTTTCTCATAGGTGGTGACAATGCCCCCATGGCTCAGCAGGACTGTCATTAGTAACTAACAGCGTGGAATCTCCTCCCGTTGTGCCTGACCCTCTCATGCCCTGCCAAGGGAAGTGCAGGCTCTGTCCAGCCTGTGACTTCAGGTCATCTGATACTTGTAAACTCAACTCTGCCTCCATGGACATGCACAATCTCCTGATTTTTATAGCAGTTCTTCTTCCTGTCCTATCACTGTCCCAGTAAAATGACATCAAGCAGATGTAGCAGCACCTACTTTTCCGCAGTATTCGGAAATCAGCAGAGTCTCTGATCTGATCATACTCTCTGTACCAGTGGACCTGTAAGGTGGGTGTGGAGTGAATTCGACATTCAAACACCACCAACTGGCCCTTGTAGCCCTTATGTTTTGCAGGCCCTGGAGGAGAAAATATTTGTGTTAAATGTCTGGTCTAAGTATTTCCCTGTTAAAGTAATTATTAGCAAATGATATATCCTTCAGGGAAGAAGATGGTCTCATGCCCCTATTTTTGTTTTACTTACAATAGTTGGTTTAATTCTACAGGCATTTGCAGTGGGTTGTGAGGGGAGGTTTTTTCACCAGTGCTCATTAAAGCCCCACTTGTGCAGGTAAATAAAGATACAAATGCAGGAAAAAAACATCTGTTCCAGTGGATGTAACATTATAAGGGAAGTTACTATGAGAGAGGTTTCCACTTCAGCCTCCTTTGTAGGGAACAAATGATGCATTCACACAGTCCTGTCTGTCTGGATCATTTACCAATTAAGGCATTACTTTGATGGCATCACCAACGAAGTATGTTGGCTTTTTTGAATTGTACACAAACTGATATTCCAGCCTAGAAACAGCTTCTGGTGGAACAAGAAACCCCAAAATCTAGAGCTGGCAGCAAGCTGTGCTGCTCAGAGAGCTGTACTCTTTACCTTTGTGAACACAGGTGTGCTTCCGTAGGCAGACCCAGTCAGGCTCCCCGAGGGACTCTGCATCTGGATGGCAAAGAAAGGGAATTTTTACAGCTTGAATTCTCCTTAGGCAGAAACCTGGCTGTGTGGTTGGCACTTTACTTTGAAAGAGAGGAAGATTCAGAGTGTTTTGTCTGTTGTTCATGTCCCAGGCTGATTAATACCCCTTGGAGAGCCCCCATTCAAGTGTTTCAAGAGGGAATAACTCCTTGGCCTGTGAGCATCAGGTTGGCAGGAAGAGGGGCTGATAACCAGTAAGTGTGTGAAGATCAGTGCTATTGTACTGGCAAACAACTACTTTGCCAGTAGTTGTCCCCTTCTACAGAGATCCTGACCTGGTTTAGCTGATCCCAGGTCTGGTGCTCCCTGGCTTGTGTGGTTTCTGTGGTACCTACAGTGAGGCTGAACGTAGAGAAATGAGCAGGATCTTTGGGACTCTGTCCTGACACCCTGCTCTACAGCTCAGCTGACACAGAGGTTACAGTAAGGCCTCTGGTTAAGCAAGAAAGGCAGTTTTAAGGTGATCAAATATTTGCAGTGGAAGATATGTCCTTGTGCCATGGTGGAGTGTTGATGTGCACTCACATCTGTCTCATTTAGCTTTGAAACCATGTGTCTTGCATATAAGTGTGCAAATGAAGTGCTAGGGTTTGTTTTGCTGTGACACTGGTCTTTTTTTAGAACCTTTTCTCTGAAATAACCCAAGTTATCAACTCCTTCCCTCCCAGCCTGACCTGAGTTGAGGTGTGAGTCTGTCTCTAAGTGTTCTGACTTCCCCAGCTCTTGGCCAAGTGTGTGTTCTAAATCAACTACCTGTTCTGAAGTGAATCTTTGAAGCATAACTGTGCTCCTTGAGCATCTCCAGCCCTGTCACCTGCTCGATCAATTCTCTTGGCAATTCTGACTGGGAAATGTTCCAAACCAGAGAGCCCTTTTCCAGAGCTTGGGGTCCAGATCTTGATATTCATGATGGCCCTTTCCTCTTAGTGACTCACTGAAGATGAGCTTGAGCTGATCCTTGCAAGATATTTCTAGAATGCTGTAAATAATAATTTAAAACGTGTGTAACCTGCTCTTTGAAGGTCAGCAGATAAGGCTGAATTAAAGTGGTGTAACTCTGGCTGCTGGAGACTGCACTGGCTGAGGAACCAGTGGACAGCAAAACACCGGTGGCTTTCTGCTTTTTCCCAGTGTGTGGGGAAAAATAAACAAGGCAGGAGGGAACCAGAGACTTCAGGAGGACGAGTATACTTGATCCAATAGTGTCATACTTACTGTGACATTCCTCTGGCTCTGACAGGATGCTGAGACTTGCAAGGAGGCTTAGCCTTCGGATTTACCCTAAGAACCTGGAGACACAAACACAAAGCAGTGTGTGTTCAGAACTATCTCCTTCTCCTTGCAACACAGAGATGACTCTGTTCTGTGAACTGAGCATATGCTGGTTGGAGAGTGGGTGCCAGAGAAAACAGAAACATCCTGAATATTTGAGAGTTAGGATCAGGTCACCTCCAGAACATTGAGACACGTAATCAAGATTATTGATACAGACCTCTGTAAAAGACCCAAGTCAGCTCTGGAACCTGGCTCCATGGTGCAGTTAGGGTTTTCCTGCATTTGGTTGGAAGAGTCTAAAGAAAACCCCTGTTGCTCTAGTGAAAGTGAAAATGGTACCTCATAAACCGTAAGGACTGTAGCATATACTGGACTGACACACAAAAAAGTAGTTATTGAGATGTCATTAGCTCATTGTGGTAATAAAAGGTTCACAGATTTCATTTTTACTTCCCTTTTACTATGGTGAGATGGATTTTCCCTGCTGGAGATGATCCTGCTTCTCCTGGGCCCAGCTGTATCAGGACAAGGGCCGGGCTTGACAAGTACCTTATGGGAGCAGCAGCAGGGCTGTCGGTGCACACTCTGCCTCTGGAGTGAATGTCAGAAATGTGGAGCTGGTGAGAGACAGCAGCACGTGTGAGACATGGAGACAGCGCTCCTACGCCTGCCTGCCTCGGGCTGTTGCTGTGGGGAGGGAGCTGAACCGCGTTTGCCAGCAAGGAGAAGGCCTGGGAAGGGCTGAGCG